CATCAATTTCATATTTTTCAGTGTTCTTCAATGCCTTCATGGCACATGCCCTTTCCGCAAAGTGCACAAAACCAAATCTGCTCTTTTCCTGTCCCGCTTTGGCGGGCGGGAGAACCACCTTTGTTATCTTTCCATGATGTTCAAACAGATCCTTCAGCTGATCCTGAGTAATGTCTTTTGGTAAATTTTTGACATACACAGCCTTAACCTGTATCAATCAAAACAAAGATGTCATGACTTGAGCAACATCCACAAGTGCATGTAATAATACAAAGGGAAAAGAACTCTACACGTGTAATGTGGCACATAGAAGTAAGAGGTCTAGTGCAGTGGAGATCATGGATTGGAGTATTCAGATAGAAAAAGCAAAAGGAAGCCGAAAGGCAAGCATTATCAATTCAAAATTGTTTTCAATTTCAAACTGTAAAGGAGAACATGTAACAGTAATCTGAAGCCAATTAATCCCCATATACATCTAACTAAATATACTTTATTCTTTTTCAAATAAAATTTAAAGGGGTCAACCCTAGGCACCCATGTATAAAGACCAAGCGAGCATATATACATCCGAGAAGCAACCTCCCACAACCAGGAAAGATAATTAGGAACCGTGATAAAATGTTGTGGGAAGAAAGTATATATATAAGAGCCTAAATAAAATATAAGAGAGCCAAAAACAGAACTATACAATAGCAGACTTGTGTGTAGGGATGGGCAATGGTTATAGCGGGCAGGTAACCGCATTTATTTACCCATAACCGTTTATGCTCATACCCGCATAATCGTTTACCCGTTGGGTAATTGCCTAAACGGTTATACCCATACCCATACCCATAACCGTTTATAAACGGTTAACCATACCCATAACCACGTACCCATTTAACCATAACCGTTTACCCGTTTATCCATTGAGCCATTGTTTTACCCATTTACCCTTTCTTTCTTTTTTACTGTTTACCGATTTATTAGTTGGTAAAGTTAATTTGAAGGGATTGTTAAGGGACCATAGTGTATATATGTGCATATATTCTGTATCTATACATAAAGCACAAGAGTGTAGCAAGTGAGATTGATTGGAGTCTATCTTCTCCAGTCACGGCCATATAAGTGTCCTCGTATGTCAGATAAGCTCCCTAAACTGAAATATGGCCATAGTCTCCGAAGTAGAAGTTGTAGATTGCCTCGTACCTGTCTCCCTCTTTCTCAGGAAAGTTTTGGACCAAAACGCACTTCTATTCATAATCACTTTTAATAAAAGTGCTTTTATTAAAATAAATGGTTTAGGGTTTTAATTTTTAATTTTTTCAATTTCACATATATTAAAATAAACGGGTAAACGGATACCCATTTATAACCGCGGTTAATACCCATAACCGCCCATTTAAATGTCACAAGTAAACGGTTATACCCATAACCATTTAATTATTTAAATTTTAATTATTTAAACGGTTACCCATAACCATAACTATGAAATTTAAGTGGGCGGGTAACCGCGGTTACCCATAACCGATGGGTTTTTGCCCATCCCTACTTGTGTGTGGAAAAAGGCAGCGACAGCTAACCTGAGAAGCAGCAGAGGATTCTGTATTTTTAGGATCAGCCCAGCTCACAGTTGGAGCATTTGTGTCAAGCTTAAATTTTGGGGTGGACATCTTTTGTCTTGAGTATTCTGCGCAGGCATGATTATAATACTCAATAAACGCGAATCCACGATTTCGGCTGGAATTCTGTGGGTCCTGTATAAAGAAGATTCAACGGAAAACTGAATTAGATCAAGAAACAAGGAAAATCGTCAAGAAGACAGTTAGGATCTGGAAATGATAGGAAACCGGGGTTAACTAAAATGAAATATAGAACGAAACAAAAATAAGCAAAACAAAAGATTAAAGAATATATCTCAAACCTTCAACAATTCCACAGAAATGACTCCTGGGCCAATATCTGTTACAGCCCTCTTCATATCTTCCTCTCCCCAACTTCTTGGAACATTTCCGATGAACAACCTATGCTTGGCTTGAGATGTTGAACATTTAATCCTTTTTCCCTAGAAAAGGAAGCCAGCAGAAAAGTTAGTGTTGCAAGAAACGTAAACCTTAGTTATACTTTCCATTATAGATAAGGAAACCAAGTAATTTATCTCAAAAAGAAAAGTGTGAAAGAAAGTGGATGCAGAAATTATTAGCGCCACAAACCTGAGTTGATAATTTACAAAAGCAAAGCTAGGGGAAAATAAGTGACCAAAAGTGAGTTCAGATTACCTTTAACTCCGAATTATTCAGTTCCTCGATGGCCTTAGAAGCCAATTCCTTGTTTCTGAAGGTTACAAAAGCATAACCTTTGGCCTCACCTGAATCTTTTCCCTTCATTATTCTAACCTGTGAACATATATAGATTTCTATGAGCCTAAATGTAAAAGATGTGCACAGAGCTTTACAATCAACATGTCTTACCTCAGTCACTTCCCCAATAGATTCACAAAATCCCCTCAAATCCTCTTCGGATGCATCATGAGGAATGCCACCAAGATACACCTCTGACCCATGTGGTGGCCGTGCAAGAAGCTCAGCATGCTTCGTTTTCTCCTCCTCATCCTCTGCACCAGCAACTGTCATCTCTTCATCACCATCTGAGCTTTTCTGTCCATCAGATTTTGTAGCAGGTTGCTTATTTTCTTCCTCTTCCTCAACCTCCTCTTCTGGATCTTCTTCTTCCTCTTCCTCCTCTTCTTCCACCTCAACTTCCTCCTCCTCCTCTACTTCTTCATACTCAACCTCCTCTTCTATTGTTTCCTCAGGATCATTGTCTCCATCCAAGTCCACCCGCTCATCAGATTCTACATGCCTTTCAGATGCATCCCCAGAATTTGTCCTTGTTTTCGGCATCTTATATATCTAGAATGACAAGCTTGCAAGGCAACTGTGAAGAAAGCACAGTAGCCAGAAGCATTCCCAGAAGAAAGAATACAGATATGGAAAGGTGGAAACAACATGAGAGGCCAAACGAAGTTGCAGAGAAAGAATTTCGAAAGAATCTGTGCCATGAGGTATGGGTTCAAGGACTTCCAAAGTCAATGATTTTCAATTAAGGGGTCATTATAAAGTAAAAATAGTAATAGAGACAGGCAACAGAAGAATTCTGCATGATTTATCAAGGGGATGATGATGCTCAGCAGGCGAAATAAACAATGAAGCAGTGAATTTCTCGAATATTTAGATATCGACATTCGACAGTAAATGGATGGTGTAATTGTTTAAATATCTATCTGGAGAGTTTCATGCCCAAAGAGACAAAAAATAAAAAGGAAAAAATATGAATAAGAAATCAAACAACATATAGCAGAAATCATAGATATGATAACATATTGAACATCACAGCTGAAACAGTATGGGGCCGACATGTTACGAAGAATTGAAAATTTTCGAGCATTCGCTTTGATTAAAAACCGCATTTAGATATTAATAAAGCAAGATTATACTGAACTGAAGCTTGAGAAAAGGATGGAACCAAATCCCATCCCTTTTTTCATTCTATACAAGCGACATTAGGCGACCGGGGAATTCAACTCGGGACCTCAGGCTCAAGGGCGAATGCTATTAACCGACTGAGCTACAGAGCCCCTTGCTCAATCCCATCCAATTAAAAACCAACTAAATGCCTCAAATTCTAGAACTTGTAAACAATACCAACCACCCCAAAAGTGACCCCAATTTCCCCAAACCTAGCCAACCAACCAAACATTTGATTCGTTTCGATTCCAACCCTTTCTCGAAATTTTTTTTACTTTCGGATTCCCCCTTTACATTTCTACACAAAATAACACTACCCAAGTGAACAAAAAACCATTAATTTGCATTTCAGAGATCCATATTATGAAACTAGAACAGAAAATTGAATATTTCAACGAAAATAATCCCCAAAAATATATAAAAATTGGAGAAAAAATCCAATGAAAAACAATGTAAAATTGGAAAGAGAGGAAGTACCTGAGCCGGTGCTTCGAACAGTTAATTCAACTGTGGGACCAATTTGTTCAATCTCGGAAACCCTAATTCGGTGCTCTGAGCTTTTTTACTAGGCTCGAACCCAACCAACGAAAACGAAAAGGGAATAGCTTTTGAGGTTTGCGTGTCGTCTTGCGAGCTACCGACGTAGATATTCAAAAGTTATTGGACTATGTGATCTTTTGATATTGGGCCGCATTTTTGGGTTTCGGCCCGTAACTTTTGTGACATGGACAACTTTTGGGCTTCCAGCCCATTATTTCACACCGAAGCCTTCACTCTTCTCCCTTGCGAAGATCTATCATTGCATTTAAATAATTAAACGATTTCTGATTTGAAGGATTAGATTTGTTTAGGAATACAAGTTAAATGAAGATAAAGAAATTGAACGATGCAATTATATAATTTCTATAGTAAAGATATGTTATACGCAAAAGGTGGGATAACGTATTGTTCCATAGGAATGCAAATATTATCCATTTATTATTTGTTTTGCAGTTTAGATTGACAACAAATTAATAACACCCGTCCTACATGCACAAGTACATAGTCCAAGAGTTCGTTTGGAAGCGTTTTTAAAATAGTTGAAAACACTTCTCGTGAAGTATTTTTGGTACTAATTCTTAGTAAGAATACAATTGAATCTTGAAAAAAACACATTCAGAAAACAATTCAAGTTTTCTAATTCCCAAAAACATTTTCGCTAAAAACACTTTCAGTTATTTTAAAAACACATTCAAACGAGTCCTATTATGGTGTTAGAATTCCGGGCATATAATCCCCTCAACACGAATGGATCAGCCTAAATCATTTTCCATCAGAAATGATCACGGATTCACACATGAAATGAATAACACAGAAACTACCAAGTCCTCAATCAATTAGACAACCCAACTCCCATTTTTCTGGCACAGATCAGGCAAATTTACCGCTCAAGGCATCAAAAAATATGAAGTCGAAGTAAAAAATGAAGGGTAAAAGCATTGGATCTGCAAAACATGAAATAAAAAACTCAAACACAGCAATCTCGCGGATAATGAGTCGCATGAACTTTGAAGGTTTAGCAAAATAGATTGCAGGTACATTAAAAAAGGTTTGAATATTTGAGACTTCTGCAAATGTCGAATAGCCAAGATCTTAATCACTTCACTGCCATAAAATTCGACAAACTGCCATAGATAGTACTAAAACTACGTGACCAACTACATTAAAAGGAAGCCCTTTCCCGCTTACAACGCAATCTTGTTGCAACTCAGATGAACAACTGTTTATATTCTCCATTTGCAAGCTGACAGAGCTGATTGTAAGAAGATGTGTCTGCCAGTAGGATAAGAAAAAATTGAATTATATCAGAACCAGCAAAAGAACATGGACTACTACCCAAACAATTAAGCACTAAATAGACCAATAAGATGAACACTGATATGAAAACCGAAGAAGGGTTACATTTCGGGTTTCTTATTGATATAACCAATTCTGAAGAATCTGAACGTAGTTCTCATTGCTTCCAAAAGATTAAACACCACAGTTTGATAACACACGGCTTTTGGGACGCTCAAGTAACGCAAGCATTCTATAGAAGTTTGAAGCAAAATAACCAGTTTGAAGATTTAACATAACCCGTGATTAAATTGGGAACTCACTTTTTATGGTTGACACGCAAGTTTAATTGCTACAGATTCAACTTAGGCAGAAACTGTATATTTCGGGTTCCTAAAAGTGCCAATAAAATGAACTGTTTTCTGGCAACTTTAAGCTGAAACCCCTTCCTACAGATTCAACTTCACCCAATCCCAAATCCAAGCACAATAAACTTCTGACAGTAACAATTACAAAAGAGGTGCCATTACAAAATAGTGTGAACCATACGTAGAAATTGAAGAACATAGAGAAAAAAAGGCATACCAATTGTCTCTCCAAAGTTGTTCCATATCTCAGCATGGATGGACTTATCACTGTCAGCAATGCCTATGACCTCAACAAATTTTGTAAGAGGAACCGGCGGGTTGCCCTTCACAACTAGCTCCTTTCCATCAGTAGATTTTCCAATGACAGTTCCACCCTCAGTTCGCACCACCTGAATCAGTGCCCGAGCCCGCCTTCCAACATACAGTCGCAACAACTCTGCATTGACAAAAACTGCCGGATTTGATGTATCCATATCCTGCAAATCAAATCAAAGGTTTATTTGCTCAGAAGACATGATGCAAAATCATCTCCAATTTTACAAAAAGCAAAAACCCTATCGTTGCAATTAGATGGTGCAGAGAAAACCCCTAAGCTGCTATAAAGTAGTTAAGGGGCTCGTTTGAGAGTAGGGGTGGGTTCGGTTCCGTTCGGTTCAGTTTTTGGCCGAAACCAGAAACCAAACCGAAGTTACTGTTTGGTTCAGTTTTTCCTTGGGTTTTTTGGGTTCGGTTTCAGTCCAGTTCGGTTTTTTCTATGAAATTTTTATTTATTTTTTATTCAGAACATGAATCTTTTATCCAACACAACAAAAATAAACTAAAAACTTGGATTGAATCAGATGGAAAGAAACAAACACATAATCTGCAACCCATACTTTCTTTGGTCTCTGTCCAATTTATGTTCCTTCCGATTATCATTCTTCCAACATAGATTCACGCATAATCACATAAACGAATCAAAGCCACTAAAATTTATACAAATACATTCAGCCGTGATGGCTAACATGCTTGAAATCTATAAATTACATGATGCTATGAATCCAACACACAATTGACGCAAAATCAAAATAGTAAAATGAAATACTAATACATTTAAGCTTTAAATACCATCAAGCTGATTCAACTTAATTGCTCTCTGCAGCACTCCAACCGATTTTGATCTTTGAGAAAAATACCCATGTTTCGGATCATATAATGTTGAATGAATGAAAACTCTATGGCATCTTCACGAATCGCACAAAATCTAAATATTGAAACTCATACACTAGCAGCAAATCAATAACCCAAAATCCCTAAATCTAGAAAACCCTAAGTTACTCTTCCTAAATCCCTAAAATTGAATACCTTTTGATTGAAGATTTGGCTTCGACAAGAACCGTTAGGTGGTGTCGGAGTTTAGAGAAGAAGCTGGTGGTGGTGGTCGGAGTCGACTTCACATGAGCTGAAGGAGGAAGCTCAGCTATCGAGATTCGAGAGGGAGTCTGAGAATCGACTGTGAATCGACGATCAAGATTTGAGAGGGAGGACTGAGTTGTGGTCGCGACGGCTGTGATGGGGTGACGATGGTGGTGAATCGATGATAGTCTCGTCTGGATTTGGCTATGTCGTCGAGGAAAGATGGGAAATTGGGGGAAAAGATGAGTTGAGTGGGACAGGAGGTTAGGTCAATACGGGAAGCAAATCCCTAGATGTAGATGGTAAGGTGTGGCACATTTGGGCTTAAAAGTTTAGAGTTGTTAAACAGTTAAAGGCCTTTTTTTTAATATTTTGGCAACACATTAGGCTTTAGCACATTTGGATTTAAAAAATAATACCCAAAACAGATAATTAAATAAATAAAATATAAAAAAAATTATTAATTTAATTAATTTGGTTTGGTCAATTTTTTTGTTCTTGGTTCGGTGTTTGTTTCGGTTTTCAGTTTTTTGAACCCACCCATATTGAGAGCACTTATCCTCGACGCTTTTGTTAGAAGTGTTTTTATTATAAACATATAAAAAAGAATTATTAAAAAACTAAGCAATTGGAAGTGCTTCCTTAAGAGCAGGTGTTCTTCAAAAACCACTAAAGAGTCGGAATTTTCCACCCAAAACGAAGTTAGAAGTGTTTTTGGCATCATAAAACATTGTTAGCCCTTTCGTACCAAAATCCCAAACAAGCCCAAAATCTTGTTGCAAAAATGCATGTTGTACATACATTTCTTATAACATTTCAAAAGAAAATTCATTTTAATTTGCTTTTCCGGCATTCTTCTTACTTCATCACTCTCATGTGGATGTTAAACTGAAATCATTTGAATATTTTCTTTTTTGGGTAAAATTTGCTTTCGATTTTGAAAAACAAAAAATCGTAAGTAAACCCTAATATAAACAGAATCAACATGAAATTATTTTAAACGAATTACTTAGATCAAGAACATCAACACACTACTTAATCAAATTTCATAAAAAGAAAAAGCAAAAAAAAAGAGCAAACTTAACGCAGCAAATCAGCACTTGAAACAACAATCAGAATCGAAATTGACAACAAAACAAAATTTACACTAAAAATTAATAGAAAATCGAACAAAATAAAAGCACATTTAAGCATTGCGTTTGGTTACTGAGAAACCAAATTGAAAGAGAAATTAACTTTCCCTTCTTGGCAGTTTCTCCGTAAAAGCAAAACAGTGCACTTTGCATTTGAGAGAGAGCTAGGGATTCAAGATCTTACTTGACAGTGGGAACGGATTGCCGGAGAATCACTTCGAAAGATAGAAGTAGGTTTGGAAGGTTGAGCGAAAAAAAGGGTGAGATTCCAAGCGCGGCAAAAGTGAAATGGCGAAAGGATTTTGGAGTGTGTGGGGGTTTTATTGAAGTGAGCCTGAGAAAATTTTCAATAGGTCAGGAACACGACTCAGTACATTTTTTACAGTTTCATGACCATGTGTCCACCCTTTAGGCCAACTCCAACCCATGGCCTAAAACCTATAATTTCCCTTACATTACCCCCAATCCATTCCAACCCAAGTTTTAATTTGGGTCTAAAACCTAAAACCTTAAAAAAAAAAAGCCAGAAACTGGCCAGGATTTAGCCCAAAAAATAGTGTGGACCCCACCAGCACGAGTGAAACTCGGCGCTGGAGCGACAGAAGCCCCCAAGAGACGCGTGCACGCGAGTGACATGCCAAGGCAGAGACCGTCATCCTCATCTTCTTCCACCTCAACTTCCTCATCCTCCTCTACCTTTTCATACTTAACCTCTTATTCTATTGTTTCCTCAGGATCATTGTCTCCATCCAGGTCCATCCGCTTATTAAATTCTACATGCCTTTCAGATGCATCCCCATAAATATTTGTCCTTGTTTTCGGCAACTTATATATCTACAATGACAAGCTTGCAAGGCAACTGTGAAGAAAGCACAGTAGCCAAAAGCATTCACTGAAGAAAGAATACAGATATGGAAAGTAGTGAATTTCTCGAATATTTAGATATCGACATTCGACAGTAAATGGATGGTGTAATTGTTTAAATATCTATCTGGAGAGTTTCATGCCCAAAGAGAAAAAAAAAATAAAAAGGAAAGAATATGAATAAGAAATCAAACAAAATATAGCAGAAATCATATATATGATAACATATTGAACATCACAACTGAAACAGTATGAGGCTGACATTTTACAAAACATTGAAAATTTTCAGTTCTAGCATTCCCTTCGATTAAAATCCGCACTTATATATTAACAAAGCAAGATTCTACCGAACTAAAGCTTGAGAAAATGATGAAACCAAATCTCAACCTTTTTTTTTTTTATTCCATACAAGCGATAGGCGACTGAGGCATTGAACTCGGGATCTTAGGCTCAATTGCGAATGCTATTAACCGACTGAGCTATAGAGCCCCTTACTCAATCCTATCCAATTAAAAACCAACTAAATGCCTTAAATTCTAGAACTTTTAAACAGTACCAACCACCTCAAAAGTGTCCCCAATTTCCCCAAACCTAGCCAACCAACCAAACAATTGATTCGTTTTGATTCCAACCCTTTCTCGGAATTTGTTTTACTTTCGGATACCCTCTTTATATTTGTTAACCTTAAAAACTACTAAGCCTACGTGGCGCGCAGCCCGAGTAGCTAATGAGCTAACTACGTCATTCGATTGTATGCGGGGCGTGCCAACTTGTCGGCCGAGGAGTGAAATATGTTGATGTTACGTTGAGCACACGGCTGACTTCTCAATCTTGCAACTGCGACCGAGGAAGGAACACTCTCAGCCTTTGGGTTCTAGAGCTTGAAGACAAAGCTACTAGTTCTGCAAAGTTCACAAAACGTCAGCACCGGATTTAGTCACAGTGATTATATTCGTTAAAGTATAAGCAAGGTATAAAATATCGATGATATCGAAAATATCGGTAGTCCAAAAACACGAAAATTTCGATAGAAATATCGGGATATTATCAATATCGATAAAAATTGAATAAAAACCACGGAAATTGTAAGAAAAACTTGGAAATTTTTATTGAAACTTTGCAGGATGTTTATTTAGTCAATTATCTATTAGTTTATCACAAAAAATTGGAAGGAAATGCATTGCATGATAGATATAGCTGATTTAAGTTGATTATATAGCGAGCTGGCAAACATTGTGAGTGTAGAAAATATGTAGTAATTAATGAAAGAAATTTAAACACACCATAATCATTTATATATAATGAATTAGTACAATATTTTACACGTGATACATTGCATGGTAAGATACATGAGTGACTTAGCAAGGTCTAAAATATCGATGATATCGGAAATATCGGTAGTCCAAAAAAATATCAGTAGTCCAAAAACACGGAAATTTCGATGGAAATATCGAGATATTATGGATATTTTAGACCATGAGTATAAGCACGCCGAATCGACACCAGACTATATGGGCACAAGTACTCAAAACAAATGTACATCTTGATTGTGAAAGTGGTTTGGCCATCAGAATGCCGAACTCTAAAACCTACTTGTGAATAACTAATCATAAATAACTCAACGTTTAATGTGCCGAGCCCAATAATTCGTAACACTTCACTTCGCCGAGAAGGCTAATGAAATGACATCTACCAATAAGAACTCGAAAATCCTTCTCGACCAAGACTTGGATAGATAACCTGTCGGCCTTGACGTAGTGCTGTTTATCCAAATTGAAGGTGCTCCACGGTCGGCTGATTTTACGGCAACAGTGTTGTTTATCCAAACTGAAGATGTTCACCGGTTATCTTCACAATATTGTTTATCCAAACTGAAGATGTGTCGGCGAAAAAAGAAAATAAAAATCTCAAGGTTGTTGAGAGGTTTCGCGAAAGCGAGGGTTTGCGCAGGGCAGTTTGTGTGTTGAATTTGATGGGGTTTTAATGATGTCCTCCTCCCTCTATTTATAGTAGTCAAACTGCTTCCGATCGAATCACAATCATACTCGGACTAGAACTCCTTTCCCCGATGTAACCTTATCTCGGCCACTCCTACTCTTACTAGGACTTTGAACTCAACCCCTTATCAGGCCGCATTCAATCCCAAACTTCTACATCATTATCCTGTCGAAACTCCTTCTCGTATCAGGATTCAACCACCCATGGACTTCTAATAGGACACGGCCGGCCTTGGCTATGTGGCTCATAAGCCGGATGACCCCCAATGACTCATAAGCACGGCCTCTGGGCCGAGAACAATTCTAAACTCAACCCAAACCAATATTTTGGGCCCAAACATATTTCTACACAAAATAACACTACCCAAGTGAACAAAAACCATTCATTTGCATTTTCAAGGATCCAAATTAGAAAACTAGAACAGAAAATTGAATATTTCAGCGAAAATAATCCCCAAAATATATATAAAAATTGGAGGAAAAATCTAATGAAAAACAATGTAAATTTGATAGAGAGGAAGTACCTGAGCCGGTGCTTCGAACAATTAATTCAACTGTGGAACCAATTTGTTCAATCTCGGAAACCCTAATTCGGAGCTCTGAGCTTTCTTACTTAGCTCGAACCCAACGAACGGAAACAAATAGGGAATAGCTTTTGAGGTTTAAGTGTCGTCTAGGGAACTTCCAACATAGATATTCAAAAGTTATTGGATCTCTGATATTGGGACGTAGTTTATCGATTTCGAAAAACAAACAATAAACCCTAATATAAACAGATTTAACATGAAATAATTTTAAAAGAATTACTGAGATTAAGAACATCAGCACCCTGCTCAATTGAGTTTCATAAAAAAAAAAAAAAAGCAAAGGCAAACTCAACGCATCAAATCAGCACTTGAAACAACAATTGCAAGGGAAATTCACAACAAAACAAAATTTACACCGAAAATTAATAGAAAATCAAACAAAAATAAAAGCACATTTAATCGTTGCATTTGGTTACTGAGAAACCAAATTGAAGGAGAAATTAACTTTCCCTTATGGCAGTTTCTCTGTGAGAGCCAAACAATGCGCTTTGCATTCGAGAGATAGTTAGGGGTTTGAAATCTTACTTGACGGCGGCAACGGATCGGCTAGAGAATTGCGTCGAAAGAGAGAAGTAGATTTGGAAGGATGAGCAACAGAAAGGGCAGGATTCCAAGAACGGTAAAAGTGAAATGATGAAAGGGTTTGGGAATATGTGAGGGTTTTGTTGGAGTGAACCCGAGAAACTTTTCAATAAG